ACCACTGCTGTTCCTTATTATCATATCGGATATAGAAAAAATACAAGTCACAGCTTCGTGTCATCCTTTGCAGATGACACAAAAATCGGCATGAAAATTACCTCTGCTGAAGACATGGAAAAATTACAAGCAGATATCAATAAAGTTTTCGATTGGACAGCAGAAAACAAAATGATGTACAACAGTGATACATTCCAGGTACTCAGGTATGGCAAAAATGAGAACCTGAAACATAATACAGGGTACAAAACACAATCGAATCTGCCCATAATAGTTAAACAGCATGTCAAGGATTTGGGAATAATGATGTCCGACAATCTAACATTTAGGGAGCATAACCAAGCAAATATTGCGTCAGCCAGAAGAATGATAGGATGGATTACGAGAACTTTCAAATCCAGGGATCCCATCATGATGGTTGTACTCAAGTCACTTGTGTTGTCCCGTCTCGAGTACTGCTCAGTACTCACTTTCCCCTTCAGAGCAGGAGAGATTGCTGAAATAGAGGGAATACAGAGAACATATACTGCACACATAGACGCAATAAAGCACCTAAATTATTGGGATCTTCCCAAAGCTCTCCAAATGTACTCACTAGAAAGGAGACAAGAGAGATACCAAATAATATACACATGGAAAATACTGGAAGGCCAGGTTCCTAATCTACACAGTAAAATAACAACGTACTGGAGTGAATGATATGGAAGAAATTGCAGAATAGAACTAGTGAAGAGCAGAGGTGCCATAGTCACAATCAGAGAACACTGTATAAACATCAGAGGTCTGTGGCTGTTCAACGTCCTCCCAGCGACAATAAGAAATGTTGCTGGAACAACCGTGAACATCTTCAAGAGAAAACTAGACTTTTTTTTTAAAGAAGTTCCAGAGCAACCGGGCTGTGATGGGTATGTGGGCCTGGCCTCGAGCTGGGCTTGGGGAGTAGAACAACTCCCAGAACCCCATGAAGCAGGTTAAATATGCCTTTTTTTGGTGCAGAAGGATGCAGTCAACCCAACCATCTCTCTCCTGTCAAATCTCTTTGGCTCTATCATAGAATCTTGAGTCAATTTGTTACACAGGATCTTCCAAATCAAAACCATACTGTCTATCTGTTAATATATCATTTTTCTCCAGTTATTCTACCCATTTAATTTTAATTATTTTTCCATTATTTTGACTTAAACTTGTCAGTGATGCAATTGTTGCTACCTTTGTAGATTGGAACTGTTAGCCTTTTTCCACACATCTGCTAAGCCCCCCCCTGTACACAGGGATGCCTCTAAAATCAGTTGAAGTGGAATGCTGAGCTCAGATGCACATTCTCTCAGAATCCATGGTGAAACTCCATCTGGGTCAACTGCTTTGTTCTTACTTAGCTCCTTGAGCATTTTTTCCACTTTGTCTCTAGCCACCTCTATGTTGTTCTTTGGCATTCTTATTGTATCTGATTCTCTGAAGATTTCATTTTGCGCACACATTTTGGAACTGTTTGTTTAATGTTTCGCAAATTTTCTTTTCATTTTCCATGAATTAGTTTCCCATTTTTAACCTCTGAATATTATCCTTTACCTGCAATTTACTTTTAATTAATTTATGGAATAGGCCTCATTCTGTTTTACATTTGTCCCCTATCCCATTCTCAAAATATATTTCTGCCTCTCTACTTGCTGCTGTGTATTTGTTTCATGCTTCTTTGATAATGCTGGTATGTTTGAGTGTTTGGCCTCTAATTGTATTGATTCCATTTTTGTCTTTGGTCTCTGGCCCTCTGGCAGTTTCTGTTTAACCAATCCTGTTTCCTAGTTCTTCATCTCTATTTTGATATAAATTTTTTTGTGACTTCATCATATATTTCTCAAAACTTGACATATATCTCATTTACTATCTTGCCTAACAGCAAGTCTTTCCAATCAAATTCCTTAAAGAAATTTCTAAGTTCCCCAATGTCCTCTCTTGAAATAAGATTTTTCAACTGCTTCATCAGGTTTGTCTTGGTTGTTTGGGATTGGCATCTTATGCCTAACACTGACTCCTCTTATTGTTTGGTGCTGACAGAGCTGTTGTTGCTTACATTCAGTGTCAATATTTTGTTCAATGGTGTTCCACAGGTTCTCTCATGGGATTTTCACCTCCAGCCTGCTCATGCTCTTCCTCAGCGTTCCTTGTCTCTTGACATGATTTTGGCCTTTCCCTTCCCACCTTGATTCATGGTTTACCCTTTAGCTCCCTGTTCTTATTATCCCTTGTTTCCAGCTGCCATGTGAGGAAGCTTCATGCTCTTCTCTGGTGGTGAGAGTTTTGCTCCTTTGGCCCTTGTGAGTGTTTAGTTCATTTGCAGCCTCCTCCTTTTCTGATTTAGAATGCAATTGGCTAGTTTCCAAAAGGATCCTTTAATGATTAATGTTTGTGCACATGATGTCACAATAACATGGCTGAAGAAATGTTGACAAAACCACACACTAGAAGATATAGAGATGATGACGTTTCGGTCCGTCCTGGACCAATATCAAGTCGATTGTGATGAGACAAGGGAGGCATGGGCATAAGTAAGACAAGAGAGAGGGGAGAAGGAAGAAATTTTAGAGGAAGGTAAGAGCAAGGCGAAAGATAGGGAGGGGATAGGTGTAATAATAGTAGTAAGAATGGGAACATACGAAAAAGAGGAGAAAGAAAAAGAAAGAGTAAAAAGGATAGGTAGGCTTATGTTAGGTCACGTTTGTTTAAAAGTTTAGAACATTTGAGTATATAATGTGAAAGGGAATAGTCAACAGCAACAAAGCCAGGACTAAGGTTCATGTTGGGTAGGTTGTGTATCAGAGCCGATTCGACAAGACAGAGTCTGTGAAGACTCAGCATTGCCTTAATTATGCCCGTGTCTCCCTCGTCTCAACACAATCAAGTTGATAATTGTTCAGGACAGATCGAAACGTCGTTGTCTCTTCATTTTCTAGTGTGTGGTTTGGTCAACATTAATGTTTGGTTGGTCCAGGTGGAGGGGTATTTTTATTTTTTTTCTACCACAGATGTGGTCACACATTTACAATGCTAACCTGCATATATACATTTTCTTCTGTCCTCCATGGACAGGGGTGAGAGATATGTTAAACACATAGTTCAGGGATTTATTGAACAATCAACCACAGAAGGTGATTGTAGTGCTTTTAAAATGCTAATCTAACCTACAGATATAAATACAACAATACACACAGTTTCGTCTGCCCTACATAAAGTGGTCGATGTGTTCTTTACATAGCATCATTAATGTGCATTTACAAAGGTGAAATGTAATTCTGATCAGCTTTCACATATACTTTATACACATACATATACATACATTAATATTCATACATATACATACGCACACATATACATTTGTTGTCTGGTGGATACACTTCACTGCTGTCTGTGGGCTATTGGTTCTGCTCAGGTTGATGCATCATAGGGTGATCCTGTTTTCTTTTTTCTTGTTCCAAGGTATGCATTTTTCTGGCCTTATGCTTTATATCTAGCCAGACTGTGATCTACCCTCGAGCCCACGATGTTCGCAAATATGCCTCTTTTGACAACAGTCTTTTTTCCAACATATCCCAGGTTGATATTTGGGCTCGGGGGTTTTGGCATTCTGACAGGATTCGGGCGGACCAATATTTGGTTAACGTTCCTGATGCCAGCTGGTTTAGAGTCACTTTGGGCCATGTCTCTTGGCCTGGCTTCTCTCCTTTGTTTTACCTGCCTTCTCACCTCATCTCTGGTAAGTCCTGTGTTTTCATTCTCTGTGGTTAACTAGTTCCAGGGAGCCATTGGATGGCTCTCCCAGAAACCCAGTGTTGAATGTAATGAAACGTATCTTATAGAGCCCTAGTATTTCCCTGATTCCCGACCCTTCCTTCAGATTCATCAGTTTGATGATGAGTTGTTCATCACTTCCAGGACTGACCAAGGTAGCCAACTTTAGGCTGGGGCTATCGGTGTTAAGAAGTTAGAGATACTTTTCAATGAATCTGTAGTTTCATTGGAATTGTTTGTGGAGTTATTTTGCAATTTCAATGCATTGTTTTCTGTGAGCTTTCCAGTTGTCTGTTAAGCTTTGCAGACTTTCTGGATGCTTTTTAAGTGGGGTGGCAAATTGTCACTCTCAATTGTGACCAATCTGACCTGGGACCACCCAGGTCAGGTGGTCTCTGTGCTTCGGTGAGAGAGTCATGTTTTGGTCTCCAGTATTCCAAACCAAATTCATGAGAATGATTTGGCCCATTTGAATGAGTAATCTCGAGATAGCTTCAGGAAGCCACTGGGGCTCTACCAGAAAGAGGTTTTTCATTACAATCAACTCCTGAGGGTTTCCATGTCCACCTGGATGGAGGACTTCTAAATTCCTTAGCAGTTTAAGGGTTACTGTAATACTGTATTAAATTAAATATGATATATCCATGATTGTAATATTGTGGTTTATGGGACTGCATTTTTTAGTTTCTTGTCTGTGGTGTGTCATTTCTGATGATTTGTGTGATGTATGGATCATAATAAATATTTCAGTTTAGATAAACAATGAACTTTCAGTAATAGCTATTTTAATGTTAGTAATCTACTATCAGAGAAGTCATTGTAGGATGCTGGTACATTGCTTTAACTGTATGTCTGAATAGAATTATTGTTAAAAATAAAATGCACAGCTATGTAATATATTAAGGGTTTAGTACTTTTAGTACATTTTCATGGTTTTTTAAGTATTTTGCTAACAATTTTTGAAGGTTGAGTGAAAGTGGTTTGCAGCACTGTAATGTTAATAATAATTTCAAGTTTTGATTCATTGGCCAATCATTATGAGACAGTTTAACAATTTCTCAGTTTGTCTGCAATTCTGCTTTAAAATTTTAAAATGTGTGGTAAAATCTTTTCCTTTAAGTTTGGTTCATAATAATCTTTATTCTGAATGTGGATATAGCAAACAAAATATAGTTTTTGTGCTACTGTATTCTAAGTACTTTCATTGGTGTTAGACGAACTTCGTGGAAACATTGACGCCACAGTACACACCCGGAGCACCATCAAGTGCCATGCAGACCCTGGAGGACAGAGTTGCTACGCTTCAAATGCAACAGGAGATGGAAAATCTTCGTGGGGAGATACGTGACCTTAATGAAAAGTTGGAAACTCTTAGAGGTAAATTATTGTCATTTTTGCACCATTTCAGATATTCATATCTACTTAATATTCAGGCAAATGATTCTGGGTTCAATTCCCATACTGAACAAAATTTTTAGCAGGTTTCCTTTTATTTGAGGCTTTTCTTCACCTTGTTTATGCAGCTGGAAGTTTGGTAATTATTGTTGGTCACATCCTGGGAAAGGTCAGTAGTTTTTCTAGGGCTAACAAAAATGGAATCGCATAAAGGTACTTGACTCTCAAGACAAAAGTTGTTGCTGTTTCAGATTCAGCTACTTGGAACAAAAAGTTCCAAGCAGCACGGGCTATGGTGAGCCCGTCATACTCGCCTGGCACTGGAAATGTGCAGGCAAAAGTTATTGATGGCTAGTTTAGCAGAAGAACAGGTTCAACGGACGAACCTTTTAACAAGTTCACGACTGAACGTAAATTAAGAATACAGTAAGACTGATTTCTCATAAAGCAAAAACCCATTTAAACTAGCCCAAATCCAGAAGCCCATCTACCCAGCCTAAAAACCTACTTAACCAGTCATAAAGCCTTAATCCTGTCTGCCTATAAAGCCCAACAACCCAGAAACAAATACTTGCCCACCCTTCTACATCCTAATACAGTACAAACAATGAAACTCGGCCCATTCACCTACCCAAAATACTCACCAACCCACCCAAAAAATATATACACAGCTCACCTATTCAGAATTTGGTGAGAAATTTATTAGAAGTAATTATGAGGCCAAATTAGGTGTCTGAATTATACTAATATTTCTGGTTTATTTAGCGAAGCTGTATAGTGATTTATTTTCGGATATAAAGCAAATATTTTTGTAAGCGTAAGGATAAGTTTCCATATCCCAATACCTGACTACCTGTTGAAGGTTCCGAGAATTAGTGTCCCCGCAGCCCAGTCTGTCTATGACCAGGCCTCCTGGTTGTTGTTTTGGTACAATGCTCATAGTGCATTAGTTGCAGTGTCCTAGTCTGAGGAGGGTGAACAGTTGGCTTCATCATTTTTCACTTACAATCGGGAATCCCGGGTTTGATTTCTGGGTGGGACAGATATGGTTAAGTACATTTCCCTTCACCTAATGCCTCCGTTCACCTAACAGGAAATAGGTAACCAGAAGTTAGGCCATCATTGTGGGATTGCATTCTGGAAAAGGACAGTAGTTCAACCTTGGGAGAACTCATTACAGACAACCTGTCCCTAATTAAATGAATTGTGTGTCAAAATATAAGTACTGCATACTAGGTGTAGCATATATAGACAGGAAAATATAGCACAGTTTTGGATTTAAGTTTGGTCCAGTGATCCTGATGTTACACCATCAGGAAATTAAATATAATTCATTCATCTCTGTCCTTATCCAAATTAAAATTCAGAGTAAAAATGTATAATATTAAAATCTACTATATATGGGTATGAAAAATTTTAATTTCTTAAGTAAATAATCAGAATTTTAGTGCCTTTATTGTGCACTGCATTAATAAGTAATTGATATAAATACGTACTGTACATACTGTGTAGATGAATAAATCACCAGAAAACAAAAACAAAAAATGTTTCTTATGCTATATCAAATACTTTATTCTTGGAAATGTTGCTTTGACAGTGAAGCGGGCCCAAGACAAGGAGAAGCTAAAGGAGGGAGAGAAGATAAAGCTACAGTATGAGCAGCTGGTCGAGTTCAAGTCTCGTATTATGGAGTCTCAGGTCAGTGTTGGCAATCTTTTATCCCTCCTATACACACAAATACATCATGCATTTAAAGAATTTTCCCAGGAATATATAGTAGGGGTAGGTGGTGATGTTGGATAAAGGTAGTAGAAAATGTCACTCCTGAAAGTTTTTTAGTTCCTCCAATGTCTAGATGATTCTTCTTGTTCACAATACATGCAGTTTGCATGAAGGTTTTCCTCCCGATGACTGCACGAGCGGGAATGTAGAAAGATGCAGCACGCACAGTGGCGCATTTGTAGTCAAGAAGTAGCAAAGGTGGGAAGATAACGTCTTCTATGTGAGCGAGGAGAACGACAAAATAAACAGACGAGAGGAAAGGGACTCGGGATGAGAATGACGAGGAGCCGCATGAAAGGCGAAAGCAAAGCGACGCCGAACTATAGGAAGCGTGGGACATAGGCAAGAAACGGAGGTGGGGAGACGAAGGATAAATAGGAGGCAGTCGTTAAGCAGATATGAGAAAGGAAAGGAAAGGAAGTGCGAGCACATAAAGGAACAAAGGTTGAACATAAAGTGTAGACAAGTCAGGTTGGGACAGGGAAGGTGAGAACAGGGTAAAATGGGGACAGAATCCGGAGTATTACGTCTTGAGTCGCAAGCGCATCGGTGAACAGGTGGACAGCGCAAGAGTGCAAGATGGATGTGGTTTGTCAGGCAAACTGGCAGGGTGATTGGAAGTAGGGACAGCTGAGGATTGCTTCCTCTTAGTGCCAGGGGTTGGGGTTTGTGGCAAGTCAGCCCGGGAAGGGAATGAGAGAAAGCATGCCAATGTGTTTTTGAGGGCAATGTCCAGCATCAGCTCAAACATCTCAGAGACAGTAAAGAAAGCCACATGAGGGCGGATGTCAGGCATTGGAGATGCGGAGAAGGGGTGCGTCCGGTCAGTCTCAGGAAGGGGTCGGACGGATTGTGGAAAGAATTTAGTCAGGAGGCGGTCCAGCGTCTTCTCGAGTGCATCTGCAATGCGAGTGATAAGGGTGTCAGCTAGATAGGGACTCAGTTGAAAGGTTTGTGGGAGAAGCTGGAACTCTGGGGCCACAGGAATGTCAGGGACAGACAGATCAGGCACAAGCAAAGGGGGTGGCAAAGCATAATGTAGTGGTTGATGACGGACAGAGGTAGGATGGTGCAGAGCACGACTGTATGGCAGGTTGAGGGCAGGGAGAGCCTGAGTTTGTGCCACTATGTACGAAGGACATTGGCGGAATGTAATGTCATGAACACCACCACAGTTTGAGCAGCATAGTATATCTGACTCACTGTCACGTGAAATGGGAACCAGACCATTTCCTACATTTGACGTCATTGGTGCAGCTTTTCTAGGTATGGTGAAAACCTTTACATTGAAAGCACTGAGTTGGACAGGGAACATACACCTCTAGTTTATTGAAGGAAGCCATCAATCCACACCGGATCAGGTGGAAAGTAAACCAGAAAAGTAAGTAGGGCAGTGACGGTATCACACAGTTCACCATTCGTCCTACTCATAAATTTTGACACCGAAGACGGGAATGTCAGCAGTCTGAAGATGTGCCTTGATGTCAACAACATGATGAACCACATATCTCGTCAACTGGTCATCCAGCAGTTTGTAGCATCTAGTCTTGTAACCACAGATTTCAGTAACATCCGAAAGTGCCAGGTTCTCACCGTGGGTGTGATCCACTGCTATTAAGTTCAGTCGTTTATTTGGCCTGATATCGTGCACCTTGATCTTAAAAACTTGAGAATGGTATGATGGGGAGACTTTGTGCCCAGCTACTTCCAAAAACACTCCTATCAATAGATGTAACGTCATCAAAGGCAATGATGAATGTTTGTAAACCAGGTTAATTCGTCCTACCTCGAGGAAGCGGAGGATGTTGATACTGAGGACACGTAGGGCTGGGGCGATCACAGGGTACCTCAGGATGCCAGCGGTGTTTTGCCTCCAATCTGTTCGCCTTACTCTGATGGGAACTGTCCAGGAAAACCCCATCAGGATCACCCTCTAAGACTGGGAGAGACTATCGAGATCAGAATGTGTGCCATATAACAGTGGGGTTGGAAAACTCTCAAAGGTATCTGGAACGTCGGAAGGAGAGAGACTGCACTCACCTCCAGCCGCCGCAATGATCAACAAGCACATCAACAAACTGGAAAAGATGCAAAGACATTCTACTAAGTTTGTCCTAGAACTGAAGGGCAAGAGCTACGAGGAGAGGTTAGTCATTAAATATGCCAAAACTAGAAGATAGAAGAAAAAGAGGAAATAGGATCACTACGAACAAAATAGTAACATGAATTAATAAAATTGATAGGGAAGATTTCCTGAGTCCTGGAACATCAAGAACAAGAGGTCATAGATTTAAACTAACTAAACAAAGATGCCGAAGAAATATAAGAAAATTCACATTTGCAAACAGAGTGGTAGACGGTTGGAACAAATTAGGTGAGAAGGTGGTGGAGGCCAAAACCGTCAGTAGTTTCAAAGCGTTATATGACAAAGAGTTCTGGGAAGACGGGACACCACGAGCATAGCTCTCATCCTGTAACTAAACTTAGGTAATTACCAGTTGATTTACAGTTGAGAGGTGGGACCAAAGAGCCTAAACTCAACCCCCTTAAGCACAATTAGGTGAGTACTCACCGAGGTACAGAAAGCCAATGACATTTGCACCATTTCACCTGGAAGGTATCCAAATAAGTCATCAAAGGCATCACTGCTGGCATCACAAGTCACTGCTTGCATCACGAGACTCAAAACCTCGAAACTGCCAAACAACTCTCCAAATGATTCAACCAAAACCAAATTACTAACTTAAAACTAGCTTGAATCTGTTAGTAACAATTGCTGCCACCAGGCAGCCCAGGGCTCAGTTCTCTGCCAGCTTGCCAATCAGTTCTGTTGCTGTTGTGGTGCCTAGTGCATCACAGTAGCTCTCCCATATCTTGTGGTGGGTTCCAGTGCTTCAAAGTAAAAAAAAAAAAAAAAAAAAAAAAAAAAAAACCTGAGTAAGAGTGCATTCATGAGGTTCAAAATGAAAATGAAATAGAATAATTAATTTAAAAGCATGTGTTGGGTGTAATACTCAACACAACTATTAATTCTTTATTTTTAAAATAGCATAAAAAGATTTGACAGATAAAAAGTAAACTGAGATTAACATGTCAAGGTTAGGAGGAGCATAGGGTTCCAAGAAAAAAATTATGTTAATAATTGTGATCTCCTGACTAAACTAGATATTGCAAAAGAATTACATCCTGGAGATGTAAGGCTTACGATTGAAGCTGTGAAATTCATCAGTAGTAATAATTTTTAAGTTTGTCATGCCAAATCTGTAGGTTGCATTAAGAATAATGCTCTCAATATAACTGATATAACTGTGTCCACAGGCAAGACAAGCTTCAGTAAATTAAATGCTCATAAAGACATATTTATGGTCATTTATGACACAAGACATTAAAATCTTTGATAATTTTGTCAATAGAAAATGATCTTGTAAAAATATAGATGTAGAAAATGCTATGAAAATTTGTGGTGCATAGTATTCTTTGCTAGAAGCCATATTTAACAACTTTGAGCTCGCACCAGCCAGTCATCGAGGTAGGCCAGCACACACATTCCCAGGAGATGGAGCCTTCAATTGGCTATGCTGGATGGATCATATAGGTACTTGGATCAGGAAGCAGCTGAGTGGTCTCAGTTTAGAAAAGCTCTCCAATAAATTAAATTGCCTTGTTTTAGTTAAATTAGTTAAAATTAATTGTGAAAATGAAGCATGGATATTGCCATGTTTTCTTATCTATGAGTTTAGAGTTTGATATTAGGTCCAAGAAGAAAAAAGGTATTGCCATTCGTAATGCCAAAGCAATGCTATATTTCTATTGTGTTATGATCCTAAAGTGGCTCATCCTCGCCTCTCGAACCTCTCGTCAGGAAGCCATGGTAGAGGAAAAAATACCTAAAATGGTGTTTAATTTTAGCTTCAAGTTTGGAAGACATTAAATAAAGGGATTAAAACACCTTTAATCCATCAGGGAGCTCCTTATGAGGGTTTATCCTCAGGTGGAGACTTGTTCAGTCATCACAACTAAGTATCACTGTTGTTGATTGTGAGGAAAGAATAAAATATAACAATAGAGTAATCATTATCATCATTGCTCCACGAAAACATAAGAACGTAAGAAGAAAGGAAACTGTAGAAGGCTTATTGAATCATATAAGACAGCTCCTCTTTATATCCACCCAAATTCATTTGTATACATGTCTGACCTGTGCTTAAAGCAATCCATTGATCCCACGTTTATTATGATGCCCAGTAATTTGTTTCATAAATCAACAACCCTGTTTCCAGATTGGTATTTATCCAGATCTTTCCTAAATAAATATATATATATATATATATATATATATATATATATATATATATATATATATATGTCGTACCTAGTAGCCAGAACGCACTTCTCAGCCTACTATGCAAGGCCCGATTTGCCTAATAAGCCAAGTTTTCATGAGTTAATTGTTTTTCGACTACCTAACCTACCTAACCTAACCTAACCTAACTTTTTCTGCTACCTAACCTAACCTAACCTATAAAGATAGGTTAGGTTAGGTTAGGTAGGGTTGGTTAGGTTCGGTCATATATCTACGTTAATTTTAACTCCAATAAAAAAAAATTGACCTCATACATAATGAAATGGGTAGCTTTATCATTTCATAAGAAAAAAATTAGAGAAAATATATTAATTCAGGAAAACTTGGCTTATTAGGCAAATCGGGCCTTGCATAGTAGGCCAAAAAGTGCGTTCTGGCTACTAGGTACGACATATATATATATATATATATATATATATATATATATATATATATATATATATATATATATATATATATATATATATATATATATATATATATATATATATATATATATATATATATATATATATATATATATATATATATATATATATATATATATATATAT